TCTAGAGAGACTTATTTCTAACTGAACTCTTTGGAGGAACAAAATTTCACATTAAGAATAGAATATGGGTTGTAAAATTGAAGACCATCTAGTGAGGAAACAAACTTATTCTCTATGAGTTTTGTAAATGAGAATGGACAACAGACAATATAAAAATTGTACTTTATAAGGGGCGATATTCATGTGTTAATGTTTCTGCTTAAATATACCTGCCCACCACAGCATAATATGAATCCATTGTCATTGCAGAAAAATTAATTATAGTGTATCAAAATCATTTTAAATTTGTTTTGGAAAAGTCTAATTTAATTTGTGTTTAACACTATATCACTTGGTATAAGCTTGGTGGATCTTTAAGAGTTTTGCAAAAACATAGATGATGGGAATCTAACTTCTCATGTAATAATAAAGCCAGTTTTAGTAATCGACCATAGAACTATACAAAGGAAACATAAGGGTCACAAATATGGTATTTATCTCATATTTAGTAAACATGTTCTTAAGACCAGCACACAAGTGATGTTAGAGATATATTTCCTAATTTCAATTTATGGGGATCTATGATTTCCCCAATTTCTCTACTTTCGTCTATTGCACTGGATACATAGAACTAAGAGTTTATTGTCTGAATGTATTGGAAGGGATAAATTAGTAGTGATCTTATTTTTCAACGAGTTGTGACAATTTGGTATACCCTGGCAAAATATTTATTTATCAAAAATACAATTCAAAATCTATCTAATTTCCACAGTAATCTATGGAGTCAAAACATATATATATATATATATATATATATATATATATATATATATGTATATATATATACGTATGTATGTTTATAAACATAAAAATATATTTTATATAGATGTTATATATATAGTGTGTGTATGCATGTCTGTATACATACATATATATATACATATATATGAATTATTACAGTTTTTGTTACTTTTTATAATATCTGTAAAAGTAATCTTAAAATCATAATGTCATATTCAAAGTAGAAATTTATGCATCTGAAAGAAAAAAACATCAAGGAATTTTGATAATCAAGGAAAGGTATCCTTTTATCATAAACACATATTTTTCTCTTGTCCAAAATGCAAATTAAAAAGCTTCTTTTAGATTAGAGCTTAAATTGACACCAGTGACATGATTTAATTGACTTCCCCAATTAAAAAACTTCTACTGTGTAGTAACAAATAGTGGAAAATAATTTCAATGTTTTCTATTATTTCAGTTGTAGAGAAATCTTGTCAAGCCAGGAGTTGAAACAATTTGATGCAAACTGCTTAAATAGCACTGTGTCAAGCCTTTCAAATCCTCACCATATAATAGAAAAGTTTTTAAATTTATCACATATTAGATGTTGATAATGTTTTGAATGAATGAAGAGATTAAAAAATGAATAAATCAAATTTCATACTTGACTTTAAGAATTATTACACTGTAGTCTAAAAATATAAGGTGGTAGGAAAAACAAATATTTTTGTTTGGGCAATAAAGCACATTTATTTAAACAATACTGCAAATCATAATTCATAGTGAGATGTATACAGGCACATATATCTTTTCAGTAAAAATTATGCAAGAAAATAATCAAAATATGCACAAAAATGTGGGGGGCAAAAAGAAAATATACTAAAAAAATACCCCAAAATTTGGGATAAAATATTAATTTCAGACAAAGTAGTAATAAAAGCAAAAGGTGGTACAACCTGCTTAAATAGCACTGTGTCAAGCCTTTCATCTAATGTTTCTCAAAAGTCATCTAGATCCAAATATGAATATGCAACTTTTGAGTACCATTTACTTTGTACATCTTTTTTATTGTATATTTTTCTCCATTTTATGATGGAGAATTTTAGAAATTTACATTTTCTGGTGGTTTATGAAGTAGATATTAGAGTTTTGTTTCTTCAGGTGGTTCCTTTTATAGTTTCCAAGAAATAACGCATAGTGCAATAATTCTTAAAGCGAAATACAAAATTTGATTCATTAATTTGTTAGTTTCTTCATTCATTCCAAAGGATTTATCAGCATCAAAAATGTGTCTGGTGTCTTTCTAGACACTTCACACATAAACATAAATATAATCTGAGCAAATATTAACACTTCTGTTAAACTGGGGGTTATTCAAGAACATAAATTTTTATAATCCATGATGTTGAAATAATAAAAGTGATTGATTCCATCAACAATTTATTTCTTATCTGTAAGTCTGTCATCTCTCTTTTTACACCATATTAAGAGGATTTGGAGGGTGGCTCTTTATCCTACCCAAGAGAGAGTTGGGTCTTCCTGAAAAAAGTGATGATTGAAGATAGATTTGGTGGGAGGAGAGTGGACTCAAATAGAATAGAGAATTGAAAAATCAAAAGCTAAAAATATCAGTGTGATGTGAATAGATTATAGCAAATAGAAACAGAATATAACACTGATCTAGCAGAATCCTAATCATGTTTCAGGTCTAAGAGTATTTGTCTTTTCCGCTTTGAAAATTTTCCTGATGTTCTTCAAAGTTTTGCTTAGTTACTGTTTCTACCTACTCCTGTACACACTAAGATTTTGTGATGCCATGAGAAGAGGTCTTTGCAAAGCAGTCCTATTAACGTGTTCATCCCATGTTGCTTTGCTATTTCTGAAAGAAGTTTCTTTATGCAGTATCTAATCTGTCATCCTTTGATGTAAATACATGAATATGATACAGGGATGTAGGTAGAAAAACTAAATAAGGAATAACTTGACATCTCTGATTAGTCCACTATTCTAAACAATGTTAACTGCTCTCTTCTAATGACTGGAAATTTATTCTGGGTAGAAACTTTAACAAGTACTACAAATGCATGTATACCAGATGCAATGAAGGCCACGGATGAGACATCGTAAAATATGAGAGAGTTGAATCCCATATTTACATTTAAGTGTGAGATCCTGGGTGTCCTTCTACTACTCAATATCAATAACAGTGGCAGCTTGCCATATTTTCCTCCGGGATGGAGATTTTTGGATTATTTTCTGAAAAATTGAAAGTCTCCAAGAAAAGACCTAAAAACACTGATGTTAAGGATGGCTACAATGAAGCATGAGGTCTCTACAAGAGCACACAAAGTAAACTCTACCAATTGATGAGACTCAACCATCACCTAGAGTTTTGAATCATCTTTCTAAAGGCTTTTTACCAAGTCTGAATTAATAGTCAAAGAATACTGGACAATTGAAGAACACTTCCAAAATAAAAGATAAAAAAGCAAGATATAAAAATAAACTATTAAAACCTGGAAGTTATGGAAATAATATATAAGTAGAATAAATATATGTATACAAAAACATCTTAGGGGGCCAGCCCTGTGACCTAGTGGTTAAGTTCAGTGCACTCTGCTTCAGCTGCCTGAGTTCAGTTCCCAGGTGTGGACCTACAGCACTCATTGGCAGCCATGCTGTGGTGGCGATCCACATACAAAATTGAGGAAGATTGGCACAAATGTTAGCTCAGGGATAATCTTCCACAGCAAAAATGTGTTATAATATATATATGACTTTTGTACATTCACAATAATCAGAGGAAAATAAGAATTTGGATATTTGTAATATTGCACAACAATAAAGAAATTCCAAAATATTTGAGAGTTATCACTGAGGAACTTTTCTAGAATGTGGATCAAATAAATAGAGAGATGCAACTTAAAAAAAATTTAAGTTGGAGAAAAAGAGAATAAATTCAGAAGAATCCATATCTGACTAAAGGGAGTGGTGGAAAAATAACAAGAATAGATTTGGGAAGAAGTTATCAAAAGCAAGGAAAATCTTAGCAAGCAAATGTCATAGATTTCAAGTATGAAAAAGCCTATTAACTGCCTTCACAATAAGATATGCAGAAGCACACATGCACTTCTATCACCACAATTAAAGTTCAGAGCACAAAAATTTTAAAATGTTCTTAAATATTTTCACATGACTTTGCAAAGGATAATCCTTATAATAAAAATTAAACACTAAATAATAACTTTAACAAAAATTATTTCAAGAGAAAATGGAAGAAAAAGCAAAATATACAGATTTTGTATTTAGAAATACAAAGATCCATGCTCTAGAGAACTAAAATATGTAAAAATGACTACCTGTAGTGGACTTCAACAGTCGGAATGATGGAGTTATATATTTTTATTTCATTATTATCCTATGGTAATATTTATTTCTAAGACACATTTCTATGTCAAGATTTAGAAGAAATAATTTAAAAGGAAGGGTCAGAGAAGAGCTCAGCTTTGGTATTGAATACACAGCAACTCAGACATGAAGAGGCCTCATCTACATAGTGCCTCCATTTACTAAATTATGAAGTACGGGTTAATAAAAATACGTCCAGGGCTTGAAGTGAGAGTTAAATGAGTTAATATTTGAAAGATTCTTAGGACAGCACAGCACAAATATGACCTATTAAGAATAACATCAATAATAAAAACAGCCTCATCATATCTGTTAGGTTACTGGAAAAGCAATCAATGAACTTTTCCTTAAGAAAACAATCAAGGAGAGATATGTATAGTAATTAACATTTTAAATAAGATATTCTAACAAAATTATCCTTAGAAAGATAATAACATAATTACTCTTAATTATAAATTGATGAGGACTGCATCTGTGACCTTCTTGATTCAAACTTATGTAGACACAGTGTATGTGACAGAACCTGGGACATAGTGGGTCCTAAATGTGTATTAGTTGAATGAATTGGTAAATTAATGAATTAACAAACAACACATACTTGGTTTGAACCGTGTTTAAGTAAATATTTCCTCATACTTAAAATATTTAGTTGTTTGATATTAAAATGCACATATGACAGAGAAGAAGGAAGAGTGAGAGAGAGCGCATGGCTAAGATTTTTCTTCTTCTCTTTTTTTTTTTTCCTAATCCTGGATGATCAGAAAACAAAAACAAACTAAGAAACACAAAAAAACCCCTATAAGCTGCTTAATAATTGTAACAGTCAGATCATGCTAATGCTAAACAAAACAGACCTGACCCCAGCCTCATTCATTCTTAATGGAGTTCCAGGACTGGAGGACATGCATCTATGGATTTCTTTCCCATTTTGCACCATGTATGCTGTGGCTATGGTAGGCAATTGCGGACTTCTCTACCTCATCAGCTATGAGGACTCACTGCATAGGTCCATGTACTACTTCTTGGCTATGCTTTCCCTTACTGACCTTGTCATGTGCACTACTACAATACCCAAAGCCCTCTGCATCTTCTGGTTCCATCTTAAGGAAATCAGCTTTGATGAATGCCTGGTCCAGATGTTCTTCATCTATACCTCAACAGGGATGGAATCTGGAGTGCTCATGCTTATGGCCCTGGATCGTTACGTGGCCATCTGCTACCCTCTGCATTACTCAACTATCCTCACCAATCTTGTTATTGCAAAGCTTGGGCTTGCCACTTTTCTGAGAGTGGTATTTCTCATCATTCCCTTGATTTTCATCATCAGGCAACTGCCCTATTGCAGAGACAATATAATACACCATACCTACTGTGACCACATGTCTGTAGCTAAGTTATCCTGTGGAAATATCAACGTTAATGTTATCTACGGTCTGGTGATTGCCCTTCTGATTGGAGGCTTTGACATTCTGTGCATCACAATCTCCTACACCATGATCCTCCGGGCAGTGGTCAGCCTCTCCTCAGCAGATGCTCAGCAGAAGGCCTTCAGCACCTGCACTGCCCACATCTGTGCCATTATTTTCTCTTACAGTCCAGCTTTCTTTTGTATCTTTTCCCACCGCTTTGGGGGTCACATGATTCCTCCATCTTGCCACATCATTGTGGCCAATATTTATCTGCTCTTGCCTCCCACCATGAACCCTATTGTCTACGGGGTGAAAACCAAGCAGATACGAGATTGTGTCATAAGGATCCTTTCAGGTTCTAAGAACATCAAATCCCACAGCATATGAAAGGGATATTTGCCAGGGAAGGGAAGAGAAGAGAAGGGGAAGAAAGGGAAGGAAAGAGCAGAGGAAAGGGAATCCATGGGAGGAAATATAGGAAAACTTATACTGGCTGTCAGCTGTTTCATCAGGGTCTAGTAATACCTTCTTGAAAGTAACATTTTGGCTATGACAACGGAGGGTGGTGGGTGGTGCTTTCCTTTTAAGAGTCCTCAGAATCTCAACATCACTGGCATGCCCACAACCCTCTCTATGAGTTTTTCATTTCCTCACCTTGTGAAGGACAGGTCTCATATTAGCAAAAGCATCCATGAACAGAAACACAATGGAATGCTGAGACAATTGAGGGAAGTGAAATGAGCTTTGTGTAACGCCTGGTGGAAGAAGATCATTTACAACCAGATGCCAGTTTGTCCTATTCCTAATAGTGATCAGAATTTCCAGTTTGAAAGATGTTGTTCCTTTCCTTTGCAAAATAAATGCTATATTTTTCTCAGCAGTACCAAAATTCCTCTATTTTCTCAATGTTGTCTTTCTGATGGAGAAGCTATGAAATATCCATGAGGTCATTAATTTAACAAGGTTTCGGCCTCTGGATTTCTAATTAGGAAACAAGTTAATCACCTGACAACATCTATTCTAGCTTGTCCCAAACAAAATTGCTTCCCTATAGACTAGTGGAAATGCAGTTCTTTTCAAAATGGCCTTCAAATATACGTAGTCTAGAGAGAGAGAAAAATCTGTTAACCAAATTAAGAAACATGATAGTAAATATTATTTTATGAGCACAGGATAAGGGAGAAACCAAAAATATACATCCTGTCTTTTCTCCATATGAGAATGAAACTCAAGAATATAATCTAAATTCTCTTTTTTTTTTTACAAATTAATAATTAGAGGATAGGGGCCGGCCCTGTGGCATAGTCATTAAGTGTGCGCGCTCCGCCACTGACGGCCGGGGTTGGATCCCAGGCGCCCACCGAGGCACCGCTTGTCAGGCCATGCTGGAGCAGCATCCCATATAAAGTGGAGGAAGATAGGCACAGATGTTAGCCCAGGGCCAGTCTTCCTCAGCAAAAAGAGGAAGATTGGCATGGATGTTAGCTCAGGGCTGATCTTCCTCACAAAATAAATAAATAAATAAATAAATAAATAAATAAATAAATAAATAAATAAATAAATAAAATAAATTTAAAAAACATAATTAGGGGATAGACCAAACAAAACAGTAATTTTACATTAAGATTGTAGAAATAATGCCAATTAAACAGAATTTAGAGTAAACTCAATTATTTACTCTAATCTCTCCCTAGTCAACTAATGAGAATACACATTTCTTCCCCTTATGTATACTCATTAGATTTTAATTATGTCGTTTCCCTCTACTAATCCCATTTTAAAATCCTACAAAACAACCTCCCTACCACTCAAACATAATTATTCTCCATGCATCATCTTTTCTCTTTTCACTTTCACAGCAAGCCTTCTATAACAAACTGTCAATATTCATTTCTCCCCTTTCTCAAAACAAAACCACTCTCCCTGTAGTTTGTCTTTCCTACTCATCACCTGGAATTACTTTTGGCAATTTCACCATTGCCTTTCATGTTAAATTGAATAGATCATTCTCTATTCTCATCTAACAGTACCTCTCAGAATCACTGAATGTAATTCATTTATTCCTCCTGTCTTGAAATGCATTTTTTGACTTCAGAAGCACTGAAAACTTGAGGTTTTTGTCCACTTTTGCTGAACACTCTTCACAATCACCAGTATTACGGGATGACATTGGATATCTTTGCCTTGCTCTTAATGTTAACGGGAAGGAGTGAAAACACTCTCTCTTGAGTAAAATATAAGGTGGGTTGTTTTGTATATATCTTTCAAGTCAAAAACTTTCCATCTTTTCTTCTTTTTATTGTAAATTGGTATAGAACCATATAAAATCATTTCTATAATTTCTGTAAATATGAAGATAATTATATGATTTTTGTTTCTTTTTAACACTGTAAAGAAGTATATAACTTTGCTGGATCAGATCATATATGTATCATTGGGAGAAACATTCCTTGATCATTATGTAGTTTTAATATACGGTTGTTGGTTAACTAATCTTTTATTTATAAATTTTGTTATAAATTCATGAGGACACTGTCTATAATTTTGTTTCTTTTAAACTGCACTGTATGTACAAATCTTTGAAATTAACACTGTAATTGCTATGCAAAATGAATTGTTCATCTTTTCCTATTTTACTATTTTCTGGTATAATTTGTATAATTCAAGAATCATCTATCACTTCAAAATTGCTCTTCTCCTGTAAAGAGAATCACTATGGGCCTATTGTTTTTAAAGATTTATTTATTTATTTATTTTCCCCCCAAAGCCCCAGTAGATAGTTGTATGTCATAGTTGCACATCCTTCTAGTTGCTGTATGTGGGACACGGCCTCAGCATGGCCGGAGAAACGGTGTGTCGGTGCACGCCCAGGATCCGAACCCGGGCCGCCAGCAGCGGAGCACACGAACTTAACTGCTAAACCACGGGGCCGGCCCTGTTTTTGATAGCATATTTTCTTGTTGGGAGAAGGCAGTGGATAGCAGAGGTTTGAATATGATTAATTTATTGAATAATTTTGTACTGCTTATTTTTTTAGTTCTTTTGTGTTATATTTGTTTTCAAATTTTTTAGAATTTAGTGTTTATAATTTAAAAGGTATTTTGAATTCAGCCCATGCTATTTATTTCTTGTGTTTTGGGCAGTCCAAATTTGGTTCATCTGCATCTTATTTCTAATTTTCCCTTAATATAAAATTTATAAAAAAATGTATCTATGCTAATAATATTTTCAGAGTCAGTTTTTTATTTCATTAATCTTTCTATTTTTCATAGTTTTTTTTGCTGTTTTTTATTGTATTAATTTCTGTCCTGGTCTTAATTATTTTCTGTCTTGCCTGAGTTAACTCACTTGCTCTTTATCTGGACTTCTCTATCAAATATTTGCTTAATTATCAGTAATTTGTCTTTTTCTTTTGACAGATGTTATCAAGCTAATAGTAGAAAAAATTATATATGTTTTAGATATTTCATCCACATTTTATCATGAAGTTCTTTGATTATAATGTATTTTTATGCATTTTCCTTTTCTGTATGAGTTATTTAGTAGCATACATTTTAGACTCTGGCCTGCTGTTTTGTTATTAACTTCTAGTTATATTCTGTTATAGTCAGATAAAATATTTTATTGATGTGAATTTTGGGGAGATTGAGACATTCTTTGGAACTCAGTTTATATTGATTTATATGCACACATCTCATGGTCTTGTTAATAGATATGTGTTTTCTCTTTGCTTTTTGTGAAGTTTTGTGTATCTTCTTTATTCATACTTGTTAATCATGCTGTTAATAGCTTTTTTATTCACGTCTGTCTGGTCTAAGTTCCAATGTCAATAAAAGAGTTCCTCCCGTTACTATATCATCAAGGTTCATATTTCCTTAAATATTCTTATTCATACACACTTTATTGATTTTTCTCTCCAACTAAAATATAAGCTTCCTAAGGGCAGAAAGATTTTCCTTCTTGTTCAGCATAGTGACCACAAGCAAGGTTCATGTGTGTGTGTATACATACACACACACACACACACAACCTTCAAAACATATTTGTTGAATAAATGAATGCATTGGTGAAATTGTTAATTTCATAAAATGTAGAACAGTAAGTATGTAGAAATGGGACTTTAGGAAAGGAGCCTTCAGTCAAAATTTTGAATAACAATCATATTTAAAGAACGGACATTAGAATAAAAGGCCACCCAGGGAACTTGAAAGAAATGAACTGAGATGTGAAAGGAATTATGTATGTATAATGTCTCTGAATACAAAGAAGGCTGTGTTTTCTGATGAAGGACTGAATCATAGTTTGCTACAATAATATTGTTTGACAAGCAACCAGAAAACTTTAGTAGCGTACAATAAATAATTATTTTTGTTTATGAGCTTAGGAATCTCCAGGGAAGGTCTATTAATTTAGGTGAGAATTATCTTGCTGATCTCCTCTGGGCTTGCTTATGTATCTGGTAGTCAGCTGGCTGGTTCTCTTTGGGCTGATTAAACCAGGACATCCTCCTTTGGGAGTCCTCACTTCTGCTACACGTGGTTCTCAGGGTGTCACTGGCTGTGTTCCAAGAGAGGAGGTGGAAAGTACACATATTTTTGCAAGTCTATGCTGTGTCAAGTTTTCTACTGCCCCATTGACCAAAGCAAGTCACATGGACAAGCCAATGATAATAGACAGGGGTTCACAGATTTATGGGTCAAAGGATGTGGGTATAGAAAGACCATTCACTGGAGTTATTGATGCCATTAATCTATCACAAGTACCTATTAAATAATGTCAAAACTGGCAGAGGGAATTAGTAAGAGGGGGTTAGGAATCTATAGACTGAGTTCAGGTACAAGGAGTTCCTTAGTAAGGGAGTTTAATAACAAGAAGCTATATCATGGTGGAATTAACAATCAGTAGGAAGGAAAGAAAACAACACTTAAAACATCTCATCTATGGAGCAAAGTAGAGTACAGACTAGTTCTTCTTAAAATTATTGAGAATTAAACACGTTTAACTGTTTGAGAGAGGAAGGAATAGAAATTGAAATGAAGACCATAAAGTCAGAAAATAAGTAACTGAGATCAGTGGTATGACCTGGGATATTCGCGGACAGAGAAGCTCTCTCTTCCACTTTAATAGGTAGTCTGATGGAAAAGGGGAGAAATGTATCTATGCTTGGGATTTTGGTTGTAAGAAGTTGGTAAAACTTATAAAAACTATTATCTTCCTTCTTCTTCTCTTCTCATCCTTTGGTGTATTTGTAGAACACTCTCTAAAATGGAACATTCTTCTTATGATCTTATATATTTATTAGTTTTTTTTTTTTTTTTTGTCTTTAATCTTTAACTGGTATCATCTCAACAGAATAAAACTAACATCTTGCCCAGGAATTTAATCTG